GTGTGTGTGTGTGTGTGTTGTGTGTGTGTTGTCATATTTGCTATACACTCAAAAAAAAGCATGACTGTGCCAGACTGTTTCGTCAGACTTTCACCAACTCATCAGGAGGTTGTGTGTGTGTAGGGGGGTGTCTCCATTGAAGACTTCAAGCTCTGCAGAACAAAGCTTACAAAACAATTTGACACAAGACAGAGACTGGAGGATGCTCTGTTGCTAACCTGATTCCACACTGGATCTCTGCGGCCAGCAGGTGCCGACGTCTCATTGTTGCGCTTACTCTCCATAATTTGCGTTCCAAGCCCTAGGGTGCAATATGGATTACTCCACCCTGCATCACCCATCCATCGTTCATTCCGGTTTAAGCACGATGTCAAGTGTGCATGCATTTGAACTCAAGATTGTCAGTGTGACGTGCACACCATTAGCCAATGGACAAATTACACATATGCCATCCACACTTGCCATAAAACTCAACATGCCATGTTATGGACAGCATCCTTTGGCTTAAACAAGATCAAACTGGGGCCTTAGACCAGAGAGAGGAGGAGTTACTTTAAAGAAGGAGAAAAGAGAACTCGAAAACAAGGCAAGAAAGAGGTCCATAGCAGAACAGGTTTGGTGGGCAACGGAATCAGGGCCCAAGAACAAGGACAGCTCCACAGAAGAGAAAAAAAATCCCACAATCTTTTGGAGCTCAATCTTCTTGTTCTTTTTTTTTTCCTTTTTTTAAAAAATCTTTGTCCTTTTCAGACCCCTCCCATTCTTTGCCTTCAGGTGAGACAAAGGCAAATTATTAGACAGACAGAGATGTGCCGGAAATTTGCAGAAACCTTGCCAAAGGGACGGCAGAGACAATGGGGCGTCGCTCCACTTCTCTCGACATACACAAAAGACCAAAATCATGGTCGTCTATCTTTCCATGTTCTAGCGGAAGATTCACTCTCATTTTGCACATTTCGAGAGTCGTGGAGCGAGGCCCAATGTCAACGCAATGGACACAGAAAGCAAGGCCAGAAGCCATGAAGACCATAAACGCGCAACAGAACTTCATCAGAGAAGGCGATGTGTTTTCGGCATGAAACGTAAGCTGTAAGCACCAGATAACAAAAAGAACAGGAAGCTAAGGAAAGTAAAAGTTAAGGGCATTTATTAAAAAAAAAAAAAAAAAAAAAAAGTTACGGGCATAGTAACTCTATAACTCGTCTGGATGGATGCATCCGGACCTCATTCAGGTAAAATACATTCCAGTGTGTGTATGCCATAAGAGAGAACATCCAGGAGGGTTATCATTTTCAACACCATGTGGCATGTGAATAAAATGCATGCAATCGATGAAAGCACAAACATCCGCTACGAATGCGCACAGCAGAGAAGACCGTAAGCAATAACACTCCAGAACACTCCAGATCGAGCCAGGAACAGAGACCCTTCACCTCATTCAGTGGGAACCAAATTACGAGCAGAGGGAAGCACTAGCGCTACCGATGGCATCAACGTATTGGAGTTGAGGTTCATTACCTGTCAAACCCCGAATAGGAAGATTTCTTCCTTCGCATAGAGTAACCGAAAGCTCGCCCACAAATGCTTCATTTGCCTCTGTCTGTTCCACCGAGCCAACCGTCGGACTGGGCATCTCATTTCTCACTAAGTCCATGATATTCGGGGAGATGTTGCTGACATCATGCGGAAGGAAGTCGAACGTTATGTGGCGAGGAAGTACAAAAAGTTTTGGCAAGTCAATGGTCAGAAGTTTGGACAGGAACCTGCAAGAAGACAATGAAACCAACGCGCATCGCATAGTCAATACGAGACACGGACACAGCAAAGCAAAACAAAAAAAAAAAAGCAAAACGAATGGGCATCGGCCGACAAAGCATATCCAAGAACCCAACTGTGACGGCAACCAGACGTTACCTGAGTTCAAGGCTTCAAGCACAGAGCTCTGTCCATGCCAAAAAACAGACCTTAAAAAGATATCATTCACAGAATCACAACCCATGTCAGCAAAATAAAGAGTAAGGGGTCGATGTGCACCCCCCCATAGTCAGTAGAAGGGGAGGCGGGAGAACGGGTGAGCAGACGGAGTGAGGATCCCTGATGACGAATGAATGTAATCTGACATCATCAGATCTGGAAAGGGATCTTAGATCGTGAACCAGTCGAGGCCTAATCCTGGAAACATTCAGGTCCAGAAGTGGACCAAGACCGGTTCTCCCGCCTCCCCTTCTACTGACTATGGGATCCTCACTCCATCTGCTCACCGTTCTCCCGCCTCCCCTTCTACTGACTATGCATCCATTGCTGGCCATTGTTGACCAGCAATGGTCAGCAATGGATCCCGAACCAGTGGCCACAGACCCTGGACGGGTCATGGATTCTGCACCAGCTTGGTCCAGCCATAAATACTGGACCGCCCATGGATCCTGAACCGGCGTCCATGAATCCTCTACTACAGCAGGACTGCGTAACAGTCTCAACTGCCGATGCTGAAGCTCTGCAACAGCTCAGCCAATGCGAATCATCGAAGAAATTACTTGTTAGTAAACAGTCTTTCTCTCCCTTTTTTTCTTTCTTTCATTGAACTGACCAGCCACAGGTAATTCAGAACGATTTATTTATTCTGGTCTTGTAACTGGATTCGAATTTCGAACTTGGGTCTGTATTTCAACAGTTCGCGGGTGTACGAACTGAGCTAGGCCCGTTGGTAGTTAACAGCCTTTTTCTGAATGAGAGAAAGCAACATTTATATATCACAGAGAGCAAGCTGATATATTCTAGACCATTCAGCTCAATGGTAGGTACTTGCTCATTTTCCATTCTGAGCTTCTGAATTCTGCATTCTGGTCTTGACATTCCAGTTCCTCCGACCACCCATATTTTTCTTCGATTAGAATTCCGACATGTGAGAGACCAAACTCCCTTTTAGGAAGGCTTTAAACAACAACAACAACAACAACAACAACAACAACAACAACAACAACAACAACAACAACAACAACAACAACAACAACAGCAGCAGCAGCAGCAGCAACAACAACAACGACACAACACCAACACCAACACCAACAACCACAACAACAACAACAGTGACGACAATGATGACGACGATGACAACGGAGAAAACAACAACAACAACAACAACAACAACAACAACAACAACAACAACAACAACAACAGAACAAAGAAACTACCCAAGCTCCATCACACTGCATCTTCTCAGTAACCCGAACAAGCAAGAATCAGGCCGCACGATACTATCATGAACATAAATATCTCTCGGAGACAGAATATGAACCCTGACTGTAATGACTGGTAGCTCACCTCGAGAGGAAAGGAATTGCTGACGACAATGATTCCCGGAATGTATTGTAAACCAAGATGATCACAAACCAACAAACGGTTTGACACAGAAAAATACAAAGATAAGTTAGAACTCAGGACAAAAGTCGACGATTCAAAAGCAGACGGAGGTGACGCATCATCCATACTCAGAGACCTTGTGTTCTGATTCCTGAGACTTCAAGAGCAACAACACCCATCATCATCCTAATCATTCCTTCCTTCCTTCAAGAGCAACAAGCAGCTAGCTCATCTCCTTCTCTCCCAACTACTTAGCTAGTCATACCTGTAGAGATTCTACCATGAAAAGGTCACAAAGCATGAAACAACCCCAAGGGGCACCCCACAAAACACACCCCACAAAACATACCCCACAAGACATACCGCACAAGACACACCCCGCAAAATGCATCCAATAAAAAGCACCACATAAAACACACCACGGAAATGTCCCCCCAATACACACCCTACGAAACACACTTTACGAAACAAACCCTACGAAGCACACCTTACGAAGGAAACCCTACAAAACGCACCTCACCCAACACACCTTATGATGCTACATCGTGACAAGGTATCTGACGGCCAAGACACTGTCGAGATTCTTCAACGACTTTGGCTTCACTGGTCACCATTACCAGACGGGTGAGCACTTGGGGGACATAAATTCATAGCTCAAATGCATGGGCAACAGAGCCAAATCATGGCAAATCAGAGACATGTACAATCAATCCAGGCTTACAGATCCGTGAGTTTGGAACGTTGGGTACACATACTTTTTTTGTAAAACCATCTTCCAGTGCTTATTATTTTGCGAAGCTTCCAATGTTTCGTCCACTGCTTTGTTATTTTTGCAAAGTTGCATAATAATTTCATATCGTAACTGGTGCCACAATCATACTTTTTTCTTTGTGTGGAATTGTGTATACCGAACATGATCCCTCTCTCTCTCTCTCTCTCTCTCTCTCTCTCTCTCTCTCTCTCTCTCTCTCTCTCTCTCTCTC